TGTTACTTGAGAGCTCATCCCAACGTCCACCAGTTGCAATCCAGGTCATGTCTGGTGAATAGACGACTGCCCATACTTCTTTGTGCCCTGTCTTGATCGATGCAATCATGGTTTCCTCGTCCCGTGTCTCCCCACTTTCCACATCCCATTGCCTTGCAGTGCCATCGGTAGATCCGCTTAGCACTCTCCGACCATCTCGACTCCAGTAGACAGACCACACTATTTCGGTGTGCCCCGTCCATTTAGCGATGACCTTGCATGTGTCAATGTCCCACAACCTCACTGCGCCATCCTTACCCCCGCTAACCATTTTCTTCCCGTCCGGAGACAACGCTATACTGTACACTCCACTTTCTCTATCTTTCCGGTCTTCTCTTCTCTTACTCCCGCTAACCACTTTCTTCCCATCCGGAGACAACGCTATGCTTTTTATTGCACTTTCTCCGTCTCTCCAGTCGTCTCCTATCTGTTTCCCGCTCTTTAAGTTCCATACCCGCAGCGAGCCATTCAATGAACATGTGGTGATCCGCTGTCCGCCTGGCAGGTGTACGACGCCCCAGACATCATCACTGTGTCCTTCAAATTTCTGGTGAGGCGTTATCGCTGATGTTTCCTTCGTTTTAGCGGTTGGTGAAGCCATGGTTCAGAATTCTGACTTTGGAGGGCAGCGCCATCTCAGTTTTCATCCATCAAATTTCAAAATCGTCACTTACGAGGTTTCTCAGATGCGATGGGCAGGCAACAGGGAATAATGGTTGTTCGGGTCAAGTCAGAGTTGAATACACTGCTTCCTGGTACGTTGTTTTACATGCTGTATCCTCGTGTTCATTTCATAATTTATACAGCATAGGCTGTGCAGCTGAAGCGCCCGAGCATCACAGGGTTACATTCCATTGAGCTTCACCACGATTAGCTAGTTTTGAACAACTACTACGGAATACGAGATGCTGTTATCTGCGAGGGGTTCTCATGCATTCCAAATCTCAGCTGCTGTCGATTGCGAGCACAGTCGTAGTGCCCCTCGTTATTCGCATAAACCGCATGCCAAGCCCTCTCCCAATCTTCACGAATATGCCACAAGTGTGCGTGAGAACAGAACGAATATCCATAGACTGAATACACTCATCTGCCGTCCCGTCCCGGCAAGCGGCCTTATTTCCTAGGGAATGTTGTTGCTTCTAGGTCGCACACTGTGTTCTGGCCCTGTTGTGCTCCAACTCTGTCTGATGGTAATGTGAAGAGACACAGGCAGGAGAGATAGTCCCCTGATGAGACATGCAAACACCGTAGATTGGCAAGGATCGTCTATCTATCTAGGTGTCAAAAACAAATATCTTCATTCATCAGTGCAATCATCGATGGAACGTACGAGAAGGCGACACATTTCAATGGTGGTAGTGCGCTTGGTGAGGATCCAAATTTTACCGAGTTCTTCTGCTAATATAATATCGGCGACAGCACGAGAGCAGGCCAATGTTGAGGTCTGCTGTCAATCTGCTGGCAATGCGAATATAATCTGTTTGAAGGGGGATTTTAGGTGGATAGGTGCTTCCTACATTGCCACGAAGTTGTGTCAGAACGCATAAAAGCAAGCCGTTTTTCTACCGTTCTCTTCAGATTGATTTGATACCATTTCACACCCTCACAAACAATGCGTTTCTCCATCGTCCTCGCTGTTGTTGCTGCTCTGACAGCATCAGTATCTGCCGATGAAAACTGTCCCAGCCTTTGCAATGAAGTCCAGTGTTGTGCTGGTCAGAATTGCGTGCCGACATGGGTCCAAGAGCTTGTGAGTATCGGCAATTCGCATCTTAGATTGGTTCACGTCACTCACCTGCGTGGTAGAATACAGTCGTTGATTATTGTGAGTGAGTCACATGTTGCGACGGTGAACTACAGTAAGTCGTGTTTCTGCTTTCACATCGATGTAGTATGGTTGATGGCACGATGCATGAATAGTTCGTTGCAGAGTCGATCAATTTACTTGCTTCTGAATAAATATCACCGCCGCTAGAGCAATGGAGATCTTGAAATAGAGGAACATCTCGAAACAGTTGAATACATATGACTGTGGTACTTACGACACAAACTTGTATTCTTGCTGTAAGCTTGAACATAGAACCGCCCCGATCTCCACCAGCGACTCGTGGAATTATCTACGGATGATCAGTTCTCGAATCACACCCGAAAGTCTTTATTCTACAAAGTTTAACATCACTCAACACTTCAACTTTGTCACATGACAGCACTCGGAAGGCTGATCTCAAGCGCTGAGTCGAGTCAACATTGATGGACGTGTGAATGCATGCGAGTATGCGCTCGGAAAGAGACTGGAAGTTGATGACTGTAGATAGGGCGCTCGGGATCAGTCACGGAACGAATACGAAGATGATGCAAAGTGACCCGTCTTCAAGTCTGATACATTGGCCTTCCCAGCTACCGGATATGATGGTGTAATGAGGCATGAGAAGGAAAGCTGAGGACGGGCCAAGCTGTGGGTGGAATGAGTGGCAGAAGAAGACGAGAGGTAAGGATATACTAGGGAGTGTGTCTGAAGTGCAGGTGAGGGAAGTGGAGAATGGGAGCACCAAGTATGAGGTCAACCAGTAAGTCGACAACTGATGTACGCACTATTTGGTGTGTTCCAATCAATTGCAGTCTCACATATGTGCGAGCCTTACGAACGACATCAAACATCAATCACAGCATCCAACGTGTAAACCTGCCTACTCGTTTCAAGATATTACTCTCGCACATCCCCCGAAAATTCCACTCGTCCACTTTGAAAAGAGTAGATGGAGTGCTGAATTCCTGAAGACGGACACAGCAGGCCTACTACTGTCACAAGGCCGGCGTTAAGCACCAAAATACGGTTGTATGAAGAGGCACGTCCAAGGTATGCATCACATTACGGTCTTTCACTAAGAGCAAACAGGATAACATACACGGACAATATAAAGTAGCGTACGGCCCTTGAATTTCGCCCGGATGGTGTGATGGATTTTCTGTCAGTCTTGAGATTCAACAGAAGCTCTACAAAAAATTCAACATCAAGCATCCAGGAGAACAGTACACATGCACGTGTGCGTCAAGAAATATTGCATGCAAAAAATGGACTGCGTATTGCATTTTGCAGTAGAAATCAAAGGCCTGGAGACTAGTGTCGCTCACATCAAGTAGTTCACTATCTGATTTCCGCGAGTCTGTACAACAGCGGCCATCAGCATGAAAGAAGGGTGGGCATCACGAATGAGTGAGAAGGACAGATCTACGACAAGTCAATACATGTGCACAAATGCGAAGCGGACTGCTCACCGAAAAGCTTTTCTCCGTAATCAAGCAGTTCGTGCTACAACATTTGCTCATCACCTCTTAATACCCCAGCATTTGGTGTTTGAAGGATGCCATCATCTCGGATAGTAATCTACGTAAGTCATCTGGTGGTCTGAAAACGAACGATGGGTACGAGAAACACGTCCGGAAGTCTCTGGGAGTCTTTACAAAGTTTTGGTATTGCCAAGTATCGGATGATAGGACTTGGACAGTTCACTTCCAGTGTATCTTTTTGTTGCCACCGATGGATTTGGAAATGCCTGCGTGTATGCGGAAGGAAGGAAGTTCGAGATTATTTCCGCTCATGACTATGTGAATCTGATAGAGCTAGAAGATCATGAAATGAATACCAAGATTGTATGGATTTACTCACCTTTAAGCCTGGTACATTGGCTACAGTGACGAGGAGAGTTGAGTATTGGCTGAGTAGCGTGGAATGAGTCATAGGAAAAGACGGGAGTAGGAATGGAGTCGAGGCGAAAGAAAAGCGTTAGCGAAGGTGGCGTGCATCAAGGTTGGAGAAAGACATGCGAGTCTCAAAACGATGGGCCAATGATAGACTGGCACCGACATACAGTACTTTGGTAGATTTGACACGGCACGTCGTCGTCCGTATGAATAGGTTGGATGCAACATCCAGCAGTTTCTGGCAGATGGCTGAAGCCTGACAGTAATCCGAGAACACAACCGGACCGAGCGAGCCGTTATGTCAGTTCGAACTCCGCGAGAACTTCAAGTTACAGAAAACATGTTGTCCAAGACTCGAAGTCGCTCAACCACCGGGATCGGATCTCTGATCGAATACTTGAAACATAATGCACATGTTTAAGAAGTCTTTCGGGTAAAAATTTCAAAATCCAGGACAAAAAGACAGCGCAATCCCTCCTCCGCTGGAATATAGTACTAGTGCGTCCCTCTCGTTCCATGATCGAACCGTCCTCATGTTTGCTTAGCATGAAATACAGCTAGTTCACAATATCTATAATGCGAACGGTGATTATACACCCGTGGATTGATTGATGCGCGATCTGACAATTGGTATGAAACAGACCTGTAGAAACCAGGGCTTTGATAGCCCCTACACAACCTCCTACTAGTAGCACCTAGTACAAGCGACACCCTCAAATGCAAACCCTGTGGATAATTGGAACCGTACTACAAAACAAGCTCAGCGCTCAACTCGCCGTAAGTCCTCCTTCTCTGAACTTGGATGTGGGTAATGGGCCGGATGACGATCCTGGTTTGACATACAAAAATCAAGAGCACCATCTGGCCCATGATCCAAACTCAACCCAAATTCAGTTCATTCTAACTAACGGTACTTGTGTTTCTGTTTTAGTTGATAATAGTACCTCGACCTCGATCCCCTCCTCACACTCCTGAAATACCTCTCCCCCCATCGAACTCCCCCGAAACACGCTAACGAGGCCTATATGCGCTTTCTAGGCTCCTGAAACCGAACGCTTCTGTGGAGCGCGTTGAGGAAGGTGCGTATCCCCTGTCCTCTTTTCAGGATGACGACACACTCACACGCGCGACGAATAAACTCAGAAATCCGCGTCCGCAGAAAAACAACGTTCCTGCTCAATACAGTCCTCCCAGCCTCTTCCTCTCAAGTTAACCTCCAACCAATCATAAACCTCCCCACATCAGAAACCGCACCACCCCAAATCCACACAAATTCCCATGCTTCGATGCTCTCTAATCCGTCGTCCGTCTCTACGTCTGCTCTCACGCTCGCTGCGATTCAGGAGGAGGGAGAGGAGGAGTCCTTGTTCTCACTCGATGCGTTGATAACAGCCTTGATCGAACCTGTGCCATTCGGTGTTGATGGGGAGATGGACAAGGATGATGAACTTCCAGAGAATATTGTTAGGTGAGTCCGATCCCTATCCCACTTTTCCTTCCCTTCTTCCTTCCTTTCACTCCCGTATTGGATTGTTGATGCTGGGATGGACCTAGGATTTTGTACACGTTCGCAACAAGCTGCAATGGCGTTTTTCAGCTGTCAAGAAACGAAGTCTTTGGGGGTTCTTGGGAGGGATTGGAGCGACACAAGGAGAGGGAAATTTGAATTTTGGATTGGCGATTGGGGAATGGAAGGAGTTGAGTGGGACTGTGAGGTTGTAGTGCGATGTGTGCGATGGGGGATCGTACTTGGGGTGAAATGGCATTTGATTTGATTTTGTTTTAACATCACATCACACTACTGATGTTGATGAATACTGATATCGGACGATCGTTCGTTGGTCAGAATGTGCGTAGTCGTGACTTGCATGATGTATGGGTAGTACACATTAATAATGCAGACGGAGATGACAAGGCGTGTGGTATCTGTATCGTACATAAAGAACGGTTCGAACTACATCAGAGGGGAGTGGACGAGTAGGTAGAGTATATCAACGACAGTCCGTCGAGAGATGTAAAGGCATGCAACTCGCGAACGAAGGTCTAATGATGGCCGTCGGTATATTCAGGAGAGAGACAAACAATAAAGAGCCGGAAACGAGTCCAGAGTCCAGCCTGTCTTATCGTTGCATCTGGGCGTGAGGGTGTTGAAGTCGTAGCTATGCCAGTAGCGTTACCGACGGCAGGTGTGGTGGATGAACTGGAGACGGCAACCTGCGGCTGCGAAGATGGCTGGGTGACATTGGGCTTGGGAGGCTGTGAGTTGCCCGCAGTAGAGTTCTTCGAGGGCAATGGTTTCATTTTCTGTTTCTGTTTCTGTTTCGCTAATGCAACCTCCCTCGCTGAAGCGTTTCTCTACATGACATCAGGTCAAGTTGAACGTCGAGAGGGAGAAAGAACATACACGTTTGCCCTTCGCATATGGAACTTTAATAACTGCTGGGCTGCGCCCTTGTAATTCGATACCTTCACCACTTTGTCGACCACGCCGTTTGAAAAGGTTTCGAGCCCAGTCGAGAGGAGAGGACAGTGGTGTACCATGGGCACTGGAGGGGCTGCGGTTGCGGTGGAATAAACGCCCCAGAAGTGTGGTTTCTTGTGGTGGTGAGGACTGAAACCGCGGAGGTCAGGATAATACTCAAAGTGATAGTGATGACGTACATGAGCTGGTGGGACTCCATCAAAAAAACCATGGGATACCTTATAAGCAAGCGGACGTTGCTGGATCGGACGGTGCTGGATCGGACGTCGTGTAGCATTAGCCTAGAGTATGTATGTTGAGCACAACGAGATCTTTGAATGAAGGTGTCACGTACATGGAGTGCCGACTTGTTAGCCTGGCAGAGCACGTTCAGTTGTGAGAATGAAATGGATGAGACATGCCTGTCAGCTCACCTTTGAATCCAACAGAAGGGTGTCAAGGCCGGCTTCTCTAACAATCGCAGCAACATCCCATGAGTACGCGTTTTTGTCATTGCAACCGGTTGCTAGTAGCTTTCCATCGGCGGGAAAGGACACGCAGTTCACTTGCTTTGCGTGCTGGAGGGGCGAACTGATGGGTTGTGCATTGTCAAGGTTCCACAATCGCGCTGTATTGTCGCATGATGCGCTTGCGAGGATGCGGTCATTCGGTGATATTGCAATGGCCATGACATGATCGGTGTGGTCATCCAGAACCGCGGTTTGCTCCCACTTGGTTGTATTCCATGTCCTGATCGAGCCATCCCATGATCCAGAGACAAGCGTTTTTCCGTCCGCGGTCCAAGCCAGGCAACGCACTGCTTTGGTGTGTCCTTTGAGAGTTGCGATAAGCTTGCCTGTCTTTGCGTCCCAGATTTGAATTGAGGATTTGATGTGTTTTCCAGGCCAGGGCTCATCACGTCCACCAGTCGCAATCCAGATCATGTCTGGTGAATAGACGACTGCCCACACTTGATGGTGTCCTGTCTTGATCGATGCAAGTATGGTTTCTCCGCTTTCCTCGTCCTGCGTCTCCCCACTGTCCGCGTTCCATTGCCTTGCAGTCCCATCGTTAGATCCGCTTAACACTCTCCGACCATCTCGACTCCAGTAGACGGACACCACTTCCTTTGTGTGCCCTATCCATTTCGTGATGACCTTGCATGTGTCGATGTCCCACAACCTCACTGCACCATCCACACTCCCGCTAACTACTTTCTTCCCATCCGGAGACAACGCTATTCTGTACACTTTACTTTCTCCGTCTCTCCAGTGTTCTCCTATCTGATTCCCGCTCTTCAAGTTCCACACTCGCAGCGAGCCATCCAATGAACAAGTGATGATCCGCTGTCCGCCTGGCACGTGTATGACGCCCCAGACTTCATCACTGTGCCCTTCAAATTTCTGGCGAGGTGTTTTTGCTGATATCTCTTTCATTTTAGTGGTGGGTGAAGCCATACTCCTGAATTCCTGCTACGGAGTGCAGCGCCATCTCAGCTTTCATCCATCAAATTTCAAAATCATCACTTACAAAGACGACAATGATAGGCGGACAGGAGGGCACAACGGACGTTTTGGTCAAGTTAGAGTTGAATCTACTGTCTCTTGGTACGTTGTACATGCTTTATCCTCGTGTTCGCTTCACAGCTTATACACAGCATAGGCTGTGCGACTGAAGCGCCCAAGAATCATCTGCCTCAGGTCACAACCGGTGACTCTCTCAGTCGACATTTCCAATATACGACGTGCTCATCACATCCGTTTACTCCAGTTCCTGCGTTGAGGTCTACTTTCTCTATTTCGTCATAACATTTCTGCCTCTGTCGTTTACCATACCCGTAACCTAGAATTTTCATTTTCTCCGTTCAAATCCCACAGGTACGTCTGTACATCGGTCACTCTCTCATATGTCTACTTTGAAAATATACGCTGATAATGCCTATAGCGTCTCTTTTCTGACGACCGGACGGAGATAGGTGTGCACGTGGCCCCGGAGATACTGGTACTCGCGTCCTCGGTAAACCAGATGCACAACTCACGGAAGAGACTCTTACACTAGGCCTGGATGAAAGGCAAGCCGAAGATGATAGATTACAGGCACTTGATTATCTCAACATGGTGCATCCCGTCTCGTCCTGTGATTGAACCTTGTGTGTCTCATAGTTTCTTGCCATGGAATATAGCTAGTTCACAATATCGACGATACGAATGGTGATTATGCTCGCGTGGATTAATGCGCGATCTAACAAATGGTATGATACAGACCTGAAGAGACTAGTGCTATGGAAATCCCTACACAACCTCCTCCTAGTATCCAGTATGAACGACACCCTCGAAATGCAAACTCTTCGGATAATTGGAACTGCACTACGAAACATCCCAGCTGCTCAGCTCGCCGTGAGTCCTCCTTCTCTTTCAATGCATCCTCTTCCTAACATGTATCCAATCTACATCCAGTTTTGCATGGCCCCGGTTCAATTCACCCTAACTAACTGTACTTTGTGTTCATGTTCTATTTGATAACAGTATCTCCACCTCGACCCCCTCCCCACGTTCCTCAAATTCCTCTCCCCCTCTTCAAACTCCCCCGAAACCCGCTCGCGAGCCCTATGCGCGCTTTCTGGTCTACTGAAACTGAACGCTGCTGCTGTGCAAATGATTGGTATGGTGGGTGAATGGAGCGCGTTGAGGATGTGTCTGGAATGTGCGTATTCTCTCACAACCCCTACCCTCTTTGTATGCTCACAACCCTCACATTCACACACGCGATGAACACTACAGACTCGGAAATCCATGTCCGCAAACAAATAACGTTCCTGCTCAACACACTCCTCCCAACCTCCTCTTCTCAAGTTAACAACCAAACATGAGCTTCCCAACCTCAGAAACCGCACCACCCCCAATCCACGCGAATTCCCATGCCTCGATGTTCTCTGATCCGCCGTCCATCTCTATGTCTGCTCTCACGCTCGCTACGATTCAGGAGGAGGGAGAGGTGGTGGGTCTTTGTCCTTGCTCAATGCGTTGATATCAGCCTTGATCGAACCTGTCCCGTTCGGTGTTGAAGACGAGATGGATAAGGATGAGGAATTTCAGGAGAATGTCTTGAATGAGTCCGATCCCTTCCCACCTTCCACTCCCGTATGAGATTGGATTGGGTTGTTGATGTTGGGATGGAAGTAGGATTTTGTATGCATTTGCGACGAGCTGCGACGGCGCATTATCGGATGTGCAGAAACGCAGTCTTTTGGGGTTCCTAGGTGGGATTAGAGGACGCAAGGAGAGAAATTGAATTTTGGATTGTGGGAGGAGTTGAGTGGAGCTGTGAGGTCATAGTGCGATGCGTGCGGTAGGAGGTTGTGATGCGATACAGTAAGAGATCGTAGTGCATACGGTAGGGAATCCTGATATGATGTGATGCAGTAGGGGTCGTACTCGTGGTGAAATGGAATGGCATTAGTTTGATTTTTGTTTCAACACCACATCACTAGCGTCAATGAATTCTGATATCGGACGATCATTAATTTGTCAGGCTGTGACTTGGGTGAAGTATGGGTAGTATACATTGATATTGCAGACGGAGATGACGAGGCGTTTGGTATCGGTATCGTAAACAAAGGACGGTTCGAAATACATCAGAGGAGTGGGACGAGTAGGAAGAGCACATCAACGAGAGTTCATCGAGAGATGTAAAGGCGTCGTGAAGGATGAGAAGGTCTAATGATGACTGTCTGTATATTCAGGAGAAAGACAACCGAGAAAGAGCCATAAGCGGGTCCAGCGTCCAGCCTGTCTTATCGTTGCATCTTGGCGTGACGGTGTTGTTGAATTTGGAGCTGCGGTAGCATCACCGGCAGCAGATGTGGTGGACAACGAGTCAGCTGCCTGTGGTTGTGAAGATGGCTGGGTGACATTAGGCTTGGGAGGCTGTGAGCTTCCCGCAGTAGTACTCTTCGAGGGCAATGGTATCTTTTTGCGTTTCTCCCTCGCGCAAGCGTTTCTCTACGTGAAATTAGGTAGAGTAAAACGATAGAGGAGAAGGGACTTACACGTTTGCCCTTTGCATACGGAACTTCAACTACTGCAGGGCTGCACTCTTGTAACTCGACACCTTCACCGCTTTGTCTGCGCCATTTCAAAAGGTTTCGAGCCCAGTCAAGAGGAGAGGACGGTGACGTATCATGGGCACTAGAGGGACTGCGGTTACGATGGAATAAAACGCCTGAGAAGTGTGCTTCCTTGCGGTGCTGAGTGGGGATGGCTTCGTGCAGAGGACTGAGAACACGGAGGTCAGCAAAACAAAATGGAAGTCATAACGATGACGTACATGAACTGGTGGAACTCCATCAAAAAAACCATGGGGTACCTGAGAAGCAAGCGGACGTTGCTGGATTGGACGTCGTGTAGCATTACCCTAAAGTATTCTTTGAATGAAGGTGTTACGTACATGGACTGCCGACTTGTTAGCCTGGCAGAGCGAGTTCAGTTGTGAGAATGTAATACAACGAGACGATCAGCTCACCTTTGAATCCAACAGAAGGCTGTCAAGGCCGGCTTCTCTAACAATCGCAACAACATCCCATGAGTACGCGTTTGTGTCATTGCAACCGGTGGCTAGTAGCTTTCCATCGGCGGAAAATGACACGCAGTTCACTTGCCTTGCGTGCTGGAGGGGCGAACTGATGGGTTGTCCATTGTCAAGGTTCCACAATCGCGCTGTCTTGTCCGACGATGCACTTGCGAGGATGCGGCCATTCGGAGATATTGCAATGGCTATGACAGCAGAAGTGTGCTCATCCAGAACCGCGGTTTGCTCCCACTTGGTTGTATTCCATGTCCTAATGGAGCGATCCCATGACCCAGAGATAAGCGTTATTCCGTCCGCGGTCCAAGCGAGGCAACGCACTTCCTCTGTGTGTCCTTTGAGAGTTGCGATAAGCTTGCCTGTCTTTGCGTCCCAGATTTGAATTGAGGATTTGATGAGTTCTCCAGGCCAGGGCTCATCACGTCCACCAGTCGCAATCCAGGTCATGTCTGGTGAATAGACGACTGCCCACACTTGATGGTGTCCTGTCTTGATCGATGCAAGTATGGTTTCTCCACTTTCCACGACCCATTGCCTTGCAGTCCCATCCTCAGATCCGCTTAACACTCTCCGACCATCTCGACTCCAGTAGACAGATCACACTATTCCGGTGTGCCCCGTCCATTTAGCGATGACCTTGCATGTGTCAATGTCCCACAGCCTCACTGCACCATCCCCACTCCCGCTAACCACTTTCTTCCCGTCCGGAGACAACGCTATGCTCTTCACTTGACTTTCTCCGTCTCTCCAGTCTTCTCCTATCTGTTTTCCGCTCTTCAAGTTCCACGCTCGCAGCGAGCCGTCCAGTGAACAAGTAATGATCCGCTGTCCACCTGGCAGGTGTATGACGCCCCATACAGGCTCAGTGTGTCCCTCAAATTTCTGGCGGGGTGTTGTCACGGACGTCTCTTTCGTTTTAGTGTTGGGTGAAGCCATGCTACAGAACCTCTACGGAGTGTAGCGCCATCTCAGCTTTCATCGATCAGATTCCAAAATCATCACTTACGAGGATAACGACAGGCGGAGAGAAGGGCACAATGGGCGTTTCTGTCAAGTCCGAGTTGACTTCACTGCTTCCTGGTGCGTTTTTACATGCTTTATCCTCGTGTTCGCTCCACAGCTTATACACAGCATGGGCTGTGCGACTGAAGCGCCCAAGAATCATCTGCCTCAAGTCACAACCTGTGACTCTCTCAGTCGACATTTCCACTACACAACACACTAATTACATCCGTTTCCTGCATTCAGGTCTACATTCTTCATTTCGTTATAATATCTTCTGCCTTCGTCTTTTGCCCATACGGGCCATACGCAACATTTTCAGTTACCCCATTCAAATCTCACAGGTACGTCTATTCATCTGACACACTCTCTCATGTCTAGTCTACTTTAAAACCTCTGATAATCCCTATCGCGTCTCTCTCCTGATGGCTGGACGGAAATAGGTGTGCGTGTCGCCTTGACAGATACAGGTGCATCCACTTCTTTAATCTTTCATTTGATCTGGACTGATCATCATCTGTAGATGGTTCCACAACCACAAATATTCGGAAGGTCCCATTTGTCGCTCACCACTCCATCCCTAACAATCCACGTAACACGCATCACACCCGCTGCTCGTGCAGCCTACCTAGACAACCCCATACCCAGAAAACCGCCCCAATCAATGGAGTCTGCCTCTCTGCCACGTTTCAAACTGTCCTTTTTTGATACCACATGCCAAGCTCTGGATTGGATTGGACGTCTGTGATGGATATTCGTATGATCTGATATTCGCCTACTTTTGATGTACCTTTATTGATTCATACTTTACTTAGAAGGTTGTGATAATCCCGTGGAGGGATGCCCGCGCAATCTGATATATTCTCATACTTCTCCGTTGTAACTTGTAGATCCGCATAAACGGACTTGACATGCACAAAAAATCATGACAGGTGCCAGCTGCAAACGTCTCGATATTATAAGTATGCGTTATTAGCACACTTGTTACTCGTTGAAACACAACTGCTTTCCAACACTAGGCCAGTAGACTTCAAAAATCATCATCCTCGATCTGCTCATCCTCACCTCCTACCCGTCCATGATCATCAGAAGCCCTTCGTCGTCGTCATCATCCTCGTCATCATCCTTGTCGTCGTCATCCTCGTCGTCATCATCCTCATCATCATCCTCGTCATCATCCTCGTCCTCATCATCCTCCTCGTCATCATCATCCTCGCCCGCGTCGTCATCCTCATAACCTTCTGCCTCTTCCGGTCGTTCCTGGGCACCCTTCCGCTCTTCTTCTGCATCTCTGGCGAGTCGGAAACCACATGCGTTCCGTATCCCCCGCCCAACCCACTTGTCGCCCGGCCCCTCAAGCATCAATTGATGCGGCCCGCCGTCACTTTCATCATCAGTACACGCAACGTTGTATGAAATACCGACAGCGGCCAGGAGCAGCCGCATGCCCCTTACAAGTGATCGTCGATATGCGAGCATGGCCTCCGAGTCGGTTTCAGCAGGTTTTTCCAATTCTCCGAACAACGCCTCGTAAATGTCCATCACCCCATCTTTGTCCAACTCCACTTTTCCACACTCAATGCGGGGCCAATCTTCGCCATAGTTTTCATTAGAGTCATGATAGTAACCCCAGCACAAGGTCTGCCACCCATTGCGCGTGTGCACATTTGGAGGCCTGCCCTTGCTGAGCACTTTTTTGATAGCAAGTACATCAGCCGCCGTCGCAGATGGACGGCGTTGGATTCTGTACCCGAGAGAGCAGAACCATTCGACCTCCGACCGACCACGAACGGCAGTAGCATTGAAAATTCACATCAATGTACATTGGTACAGTGGGTGAGTAGATCCTGATTATGTAGCGCGGCTGTCGATTACCATTGATGTCAGCAATGGAATACAGTGTTAACAAGTTGTACGCACCTCCTCGTCGGGTGCCGTTTCGTTGGCCAAAATGATGGTGCATTTCTGGAGGATGCCGTCTTCCATGTCCATTTCCTTCTCAATTCGAGAAACACAAGCTTTGACGTGGTCGAAAAGCCAAACTTCGTTGGAGCACTCGTCGTACTCATATTCCCCAGAGTCTTCCTCAGAGCCCTTGCGTGATGCTGAGACAACTGTGTGGTACTTTTCATTGGTTTGGAGGCGATTGATGGAATAATTGGTCCACGCGCTCTGTGTGGCACGAGTTGGACGAAGTAAGGGACCAAAGTGATGTTCTGCCAGTTCAAGTCCTTGTAGATCGGTTTTAGCTGCTGAAGGAGTAGCACTATCGGCACTATTTGCAGGCATGATAGAGAGTGAGATATGCGCAAAGCCTGGCAGGTGAGCAATTTGGATTGATGGAGAAGGGTACGCCGAGACATGAAGCACATATTTAACTGTTCGCTTCTCCACTGACATAGACTGGCAGTGTCCAGAATCTGGGTTATCTGAGATCTCCCTCCGCTAGGTTGGAAGACGCAATGGATGAATCAATCCCAGAAATGTCCATTCTCGTATTTTGTTGTCCAGGAGAATATGGGATGGCACGCAATGTCTGGCATGGGGTTTTCCTTTTCAGCGTGCTTTCGATGACGCTGTTACCAGGCTGCGCTCGTATGGTACCCATGGAGATCTACATGCTCGCGGATCTTCAATGCAACTCTTCTTGTAACAGGATCGTGTCCAGGAATGTTTACTCCATGTTGACATATTTTGTATCACTGTCGCGCGAAAAGGAGAGGGATACAATCTGCAGCTGCATACGCAAGATCGCTGAAAGAGGACGCGGGAGACGCTGTTTCTAGGGGGCCACGGGCCACGGGCCAGCGGCGAGACTAGTCAGGACTAGTCACCAAACGGAAATGGCGAGAAGTAAACCAAACATGTCGGAACAAGTCTCTGGCGTGACCAGTCCATCAAAGAGTCGCCGTAAATCTGACCTGAAACATTCCAAATGTCGCATGTTACATGTCGTTTATTGTGCCCTGTGATCTACCCAGGCTGTACCCGCAGCTCAGGAGAGCAGCTGGATGTCTGTTTTTGAAGTCGGGAGTGACCATCATCCTTGTCTCATCCTTCAAGAATTAGCAATGTAACGCCCCTTAGGCTGGCTGGCTTTAAGGGCGATCTGTCAGTATTGTGTGAGCGACTGAGCGATGAAATTGATTGGACGTCTGTGATGAAGATCTGCATGAGTATTGATGTGTCCTACTTCTCCATTGTAGTAGATATTGCATGAATGAACTTGTTTTCGCCTGGGTTACTCGTGTGAGCGATAAAGTGATCATATTCACGTTTGCAATCGCTCTGCCTACCCAAAGGCGATGGCGTCTACAACGGCATGCACAAGCGCCCGGTCAGTCAACTCAAGAACGGTTCGAAATACATCAGAGAGTGGAAGAGCACATCAACGAGAGTCTGCCGAGAGATGTAAAGGTATGCGAGTCATGAAGGATGTCAAGATCTAATGATGATCGTCCGTATATTCAGGAGAGAGACAACCGAGAAAGAGCCAAATGCGAGTCCAGAGTCCAGCATCTTTTATTATTGCATGACGGCGTGACGGCGGTGTTGATGTTGTAGTTGTGGTAGCGTCACCGGCAGCAGGTGTGGTGGACGACGAAGCCTGTGGTTGCGAAGATGGCTTAGTGACATTGGGCTTGGGAGGCTGTGAGCTGCCCGAAGTAGAGTTCTTCGAGTGCAACGCTTTCGTTTTCTGTTTCTGATTCGCTAACGCAACCACCCTCTTTGAAGGGTTTCTCTATGTGATATCAGGTCGAGGTGAACGCCTGAGAAGTAGAGATAACATACACGTTTGCCCTTCGCATATGGGACCTCGACATCTGCGGAGCTGCGCCCTTGCAACTCAACTTCTTCACCACTTTGTCTGCGCAGTTTGAAAAGGTTTCGAGCCCAATCGAGAGGGGGGGATGGTGACGTATCATGGGCACTGGAGGGGCTGCGATGGAATAAACGCCCGAGAAGTGTGGTTTCTGGTGGCGCTGAGGTCTGAAACCGCGGAGGTCAGAATAGTACTCAAAGTGATAGTGATGACATACATGAGCTGGTGGGACTCCATCGAAGAAACCATGAGGTACACGACCAGCAGGCAGGGCGTTGCTGGACCGGAGGTCGTGTAGCATTAGCCTAGAGTGTACATGTTGAACAAAATGAGATTTTTGAATGAGTGTCACGTACATGGAGTGCCGACTTGTTGACCTAGCAGAGCGAGTTCAGTTGTGAGAATGTGATAAAATGAGACTATCAGCTCACCTTTGGATGCGAAAGAAGTTCGTGAAGGCCGGCTTCTCTAACAATCGCAACAACATCCCATGAGTACGCGTTTTTGTCATCGCAGCCAGTTGCTAGTAGCCTTCCACGCGCGGAAAACGACACGCAGTTCACTTTCTCTGCGTGCTGGAGGGGCGAACTGATGGGTTGTCCATTGTCAAGCTTCCACAATCGCGCATGTCTTGTCCGATGATGCACTTGCGAGGATGCGGCCATTCGGAGATATTGCAATGGCTATGACAGCAGAAGTGTGCTCATCCAGAACCGCGGTTTGCTGCCATGTTTCGGTATTCCATGTCCTAATGGAGTAATCGTATGACCCGGAGACAAGCGTTTTTCCGTCCTTGGTCCAAGCCAGACAGCGCACCCAGTCCATGTGTCCTTTGAGAGTTGCGACAAGTTCGCCTGTCTTTGTGTCCCAGATTTGAATTGAGGACTTGCGTTTTCCAGGCCAGGGCCCATCTCGTCCACCAGTCGCAATCCAGGCCATGTCTGGTGAATAGACGACTGCCCACACTTCTTCGTGTCCTGTCTTGATCGATGCAAGTATGGTTTCTTCGTCCACTGTCCTCGTCCCCGTCTTTCCACGTGCCATTGCCTTGCAGTGCCATCGTTAGATCCGCTTAACACTCTCCGACCATCTCTGACTCCAGCAGACAGACACCACACAGTTTGTGTGCCCCGTCCATTTAGCGATGAGCTTGCATGTGTTGATGTCCCACATCCTCACTAGCACCATCCTCACATCCCGCTAACCACTTTCGTCCCGTCCGGAGACGACGTTATAGTCAATACCCCACTGTTTCCATCCCTCCGGTCATCTCCTATCTTAGCTCCCGCTAATCACTTTCTTCCAGCCCGAAGACAACTCTATGCTCTCCACTCTACTTTCTCCGTCTCTCCAGTCTTCTCCTATCTGTTTCCCGCTTCTTCAAGCTTCCATACTCGCAACGAGTCATCCAATGAACAAGTGATGATCCGCTGTCCGCCTAGGAGGTGTATGACACCCCAGATAGGATCAGTGTGTCCTTCGAAATTTCTGGCGAGGCGTTATCGTTGATGTTTCTTTCGTTTTAGCGGTTGGTGAAGCCATGCCTCAGAATTCCGACTACGTAGTACAGAGCCATCTCAGCTTTCATCCGTCAAATTTCAAATCATCACTCACGAGGTCTCTCAGAAGCGATGGGGGCAACAGGGAATAATGGTTGTTTGGGTCAAGTCAAAGTTGAATACACTGCTTCCTGTTACGTTAGTGTACATGCTGTATCCTCGTGTTCATTTCATAGCTATTACAGCATAGGCCGTGCAGCTGAAGCGCCCGGGCGTCACAGGGTCACATTACATGTGGCCTCCATTACCTAGTTCTCAACCACTGGGGAAGATGTGAGGCAGTTCGCTGCGAAGCGCTCTCATGCGTTCTCAATATCAGCTGATGTTGAATGTGACGATGAATTAGCATTTCAGTGAGGTGCGTTGCCTATATGCTAGTACTGGTTATCTAATTGGCTCTGGAACATTCTCTCAAGCTCATTGCTTGGAGCCATCTTTTACCTCCAACAAGCACGTACATCATATCAGCAACAGTTTACGAACAAGCGGCTAAGGGACATTCCCTGCAACGCACTTCATTCTTCTCGCCCAGCTACATCATATACCGCCCGGCGATTGAGATGAGGTGCTGGAAACCGCGATTCCAAACAGACAGATTCTGTTTCGTGCATCGAGAATTGGATATGGGTGACAGTAGTACCTGATCACTAATGAACCTCAGAAACCGCACCACCCATGCTTCGATGCTCTCTGATCCGTCGTCCGTCTCTACGTCTACTCTCACGCTCGCTGCGATTCAGGTGGAGGGATAAGAGAGGTCTTTGCTCAATGCATTGATATCAGCCTTAGTCGAACCTGTCCCGTTCGGCGTTGATGGCGAAGTGAAAAAGGATGAACAGTTTCAGGAGAATGTTGTTAGGCGAGTCTGATCCTGACTCCTTCATTCCTTCCCTTCCTTTCACTCCCGCATGAGATTGGATTGGGTTGTTGATGTTGGGATAAAACTAGGATTTTATATATGTTCGCAACAAGCTGCGATGGTGCTTTTTCAGCTGTGCAGAAACGCAATCATTTCGGGTTCTTGGGAGGGATTAGAGCGACGTAAGGAGAGAAGGAGTCAAATTTTGGATTGACGCGTGGGGGGAGTTGAGTAAGACTGAAGTCGTAGTGCGATGCGATGCGTGAGGTAGGGATCATACTTGGGGTGGGATGAAATGGCATTTGTTTTCATTTTTGTTTTCACACAACAACACACTAATGTTAATGAATTCTGATGTCAGTTGATCGTTCGTTTGTGACAACACCATTTTCGTTTTTAGCTGGCCGGACAGGTTAAGAAGCAAGTGCTCAGTTGATCTCTGTTCGCATGCATCGATATCTGGCATTCCTGATTCTCGAATCCATGGTATCTGGTTTCGACGATTGACATCACGCTGCGTGTGATGGCACCGTTGACTTTTGTCATTTGATGCTTTGGTGTCGAGCCTGACTTGATCATTACAGACGAGTCTTTTTCTGCTCATGTATTAGATTGTTAATGGTCATGCAACGATTGAAACGTTGAGGATATGTTGGAGTTAGAATTGTATACACGCTCGTCACAAGTTGCAACGGCAATTTTTCAGCTGCAAAAAATGTGTGGGTAGTATACATTGCAGACAGAGGTGGCGAGGAGTCTGGTATCCGTATCGTATATAAAGAACAGCTCGAAATACATCAGAGGGAGTGGTAAAGTATGTCAACGAGAGCCCGTCGAGGGATGGAAATGCAATGCGAGTCGTGAAGCATGACAAGATCTAATGATGATCGTCCGTAGTTCAGTACTTCAGTTGTGAGAACGTGATAAAATGAGACTACCAGCTCACCTTTGAAGTTCGTCAAGGCCGGCTTCTCTAACAATTGCAGCAAGATCCCACGAGTACGCGTTTTTGTCATCACAACCGGTGGCTAGTAGCTTTCCATCCGCGGAAAACGACACGCAGTTCACTTGCTCTGCATGCTGGAGGGGCGAACTGATGGGTTGTCCATTGTCAAGGTTCCACAATCGCGCTGTTTTGTCACCCGATGCGCTTGCGAGGATGCGGCCATTCGGTGATATTGCAATGGCAAAAACAACTGTCAGTGTGCTCAACCAGAACCGCGGTTTGCTCCCACTTGGCTGTATCCCATGTCCTAATAGGAGTGATCATATGACCCGGAGATAAGCGTTTTTAGGTCCTTGGTCCAAGCCAAGGCAACGCACACAGTCCGTGTGTCCTTTGAGAGTTGCGACAAGTTTGCCTGTCTTCGCGGCCCAGATTTGAATTGAGAAGTCGAGTTTTCCAGTCC